GGAAGCCTCGACGTCTCGCAACCCTAAGGGCATCCACGGCCTGTTACAGGGATACCTTTACTTTTTTATATACTCACCGAGATTAACCAGTTATGATGGTGTAGTTACTTTCAACCCCCTTAATTGCATGGGAAATGAAGAAAACCACGAATAAACTCAATAAGATATCTGCTCTCTTCTGAACCTTGATGGCGTGTAGTGTGGCAGATATTTATCGACGTTTCGGAGAAACTGGACTCTTCTCTCTTCAGGCCCAAAGAGGCCACATGCAGTAAAGTAAAGTAAAGGTATCCCTGTAAGGGACCGTGAAGGCCCATAGGGTTGTGAGATGTTGAGCAGCTGCTCAAGAATTTCCCAGCATTTTATGGAAACCGAAGGTTCATTACCGTGTTCACAAGAACCCTACACTGGTTCCTATCCTGAGCCAGATCAATCCAATCCATAACGTCCCATCCTATCTCTCTAAGATCGATTTTAATATTGTCCACCCACCTACGCCTTGGTCTTTCCAGTGGTCTCTTTCCTTCTGGCTTTCAAACCAATATCCTATACGCATTCCACTTCTCCCCCATTCGTGCTACATGCCCTGCCCACCTCATCCTCCTTAACTTGATCATTCTAATTATACTTGGAGAAGAGTACAAGTTATGGAGCTCCTCATTATGCAGTTTTCTCCAACCTCCTGTCACTTCATCCCTCTTCGGTCCAAATATTCTCCTCAACACCCTGTTCTCAAACACCCTCAGTCTATGTTCCTCCCTTAATGTCAGAGATCAAGTTTCACACCCATACAGAACCAATTATAGTTACTACTACTTTTTTTTCCTTGGCGCTACAGCCCCAGTGGGCCTAGGCCTACCTCCATGAACTTCTCCGTTCACTTCGGTTTCTCTAGATCTTACACATTCGGTAGGACTCCTTGGGCGGGTGATCAGCTCGTCGCAAGGCCTCTACCTGTACACAAACACAGAAAAACGCACACAAACACCCATGCCCTGAGTGGGAGTCGAACCCACGATCCCGGCTTCCGAGCGATCGAAGACCGTGCATGCCTTAGACCGCTCAGCTACCGTGACCGGCCACTACTACTACTACTACTACTACTACTACTACTACTACTACTACTACTACTACTAGTAGTACTACTACGAATAATAATAATAATAATAGTAATTGAGGTAATTAATAACAAACTTGCCTCCAACTGTAATGAATTAAGCACTACACCATGGAGACGTATGGGGGGGTTGATGTATAGACCCACAAATTTTTGACCTTGGCAATAGTTCTAAGGTGAGCGGTCGGATTCACACCCCGGCCATTTCTCCCCCCTGAGAAAAGCACCCAGTACCCTTTGGACATGAAGCTAGGGGCACGCAGAACGGGTCTAGGCGATGTGGAAAGGAGAAAATTCTTGCCCTAACTCGAACTCCGACCCCTTGGCCATTTATTCCGTAGCCAGTTGCTGTACCGACTGAACTACTCCGGGTCCAAATAATGATAATAATATTCATTTCCGGAACACGTATACGATTGAATTATTCTCTCTAACGGCTTATCTAAATTTGAAATTAACTGTATTTCGAGATAGGAAGTGCAGCATCTTAAGGCAGAGAGTAACTACTGCAGGTACTAATACCTTTTGTTGGTAAATTTAAAGGCTTTATTTTCCAGAAATATTTCAAAATCGTTATATATGGTTTTTGAGAAAATAGTGGTTTTAAAAAGACGAATTTTACCCTATAAATGTTTCTAGTATATCTAGACCAAATACAGTGTTAGTTACTGGAGGCAAATAATTGACACAGAATTGCCTACAGCGAAGCGATTGTATTATTAACAAAGATATTTTCAGTATGTCCAATTGGAAAAATCTTTTGAAGTAACAATGTGAAACACGTTTTTATTTCATAAACTCCAGCATAAAGCAATAGCATGACTTGGGATTATGAAGGTAAAATATAATGAGGATTGAAATGACAGCTAATACTGGAAAAATCTTAATCAGCTTTGCATGATAAAAAAGATAAATGTGAAAAATTTGTTTTCTACCGGCAGGGCAGAAGGGATCACAGATGAGCAAAACACATGAATTAGGGAGCACATGAAACAAGTAGAAAATGGAAAATGAGAAAATGAAAGAGAGATATTGAGGGCAGGAAGTGCAGAGAGGAGGTTGAATGACACCTTGGCACTCTACTTATTAAGTCAATAAAACCAGTAAGAATCAAATTCTAAGATAACGTGTCACTGGGATCTTATTGTGCACTGCCACATGTAATGATCACAACGTATCTATTACTTTTGTTTAAAGGCCATTTTCCTAGACAAAATGTACTGATTTTGGGTTTGGCGGCAATTTAGCCGTGATGTTGATCGTAATCCGAGTGAGGCCGCCACATGCGAGAGGGCTACAGCACAGCGTTTTGGTGGAAAGAAGGTTGTTATGATTCTTTTCCTACCGAAAAATAAATATAAATTTTGTAATGATCTTAGAATATGCAAGTATAACTGAATTTGACCCTTTGTGCCGAATATCGCTTGCATTCAGCTGCCCGAAAGATTAGATTTATGTAAGGAAAGCTATCCCTGTAACAGGCCGTGGAGACCCATAGGGTTGTGAGACGTTGAGACTCCCACATTATCTAGACAATCGGCTCAAAGATGGCGGTAAGGTTGTCAGCCTTACGCGCCGGCCGCGTTTTACTCCCCAGGAAAATTATTTAATTAATTACATTTATGTAAATAGTATATTATTAATATACTTCGTTCCTGCCATAAATCACACCGCCCGTCTCCATTACATAGAAGTTTAAGTTTTTATGGGTAAATAATAGCTTATATTTCTGAGAATAATAGGAAATGCTTAAATAGACTGATCGTGGAAACGTAGAAATTCTGGATCATTCGCAAAGAGAAATTGCAGAAATTCGCCTATTGAATTTGAGAGGTGCAAAAAGATTTTTAGTGATATTTCATATTAGCGAGTTCTGCTAAAATTTGTGTGCAAGCTCCAGTTCCAGTTAAAATAGCAAAAAAATGCAGTGAATATCCTATATGAAGGCTTACATGCGCCATTGTGCGCATCTTGACTTGAACTCCATAGGCATTCCGTATAGTGACAACAGATTCCAACAGAAATTTAGAGAAAAACGAAAAAAAATTATGCCCAAGACACATTTTAAATAGGTTTTGCTTTTTTTCCGAAAATTAAACAAAGCGGACTAGCCTGCCAGAACTGTGATGTGGTACGCATATTTCCAACTTTTTTTTTTTTGGGTGGACTAAGTCCCTTCTATTGCGGCCACTTCTGGCCTATTGTACCAGCCCCTGATGATAGGTGAGGGTGATTGTGGAGCAATTTGTGGAATGAAGATTGGCAAGGGAAACCGAAGTACTCGGAGAAAACCTGCCCCAGGGCCACTTTGTCCACCACAAATCCCACTTGACCAGACCCGGGATCGAACCCGGGACGCCGCAATGGGAAGCCAGCGACTAACCGCTTGAGCTATGTCGAGGCCCATTTCCAACCTTTGTAGAATTTAAGGCCTTAATATGCTGAAGTATATCTCAGTAAAATGTCAAGTTGTTCCTGTACTTAGCTAATTAAGCACTATGCGACGAAGGTGTATGGGGGAGTGGATGTATAGAACCATGTTGTCTTGACCTCTGCACTAGTTGGAGGCAAGTAGTCAGCTTCACGCCCTGGCAGCTCTTCCCCCTAGGTAAAAGCCTCCGGTACCCATTGGGTGGGCCCAGAATCTGTCTGGATAAAATGGAGAAGAGAAGATTCTTGTCTCTACTGGGACTCGAACTTCGACCACTCGGTTGTCCAGCCCGTAACAAGTTGCTGTACCGACCGCGCTATCCCGGCTCTGTATCTCAGTAAACTCTCATAATTTTAATTTCTATATCTTGTACAGGTGGGCACGCGGTAGCGTAGTTGTTTGAGGCACTATGCTACAAACCGTAAGGTCGAGGGATCAAATCCCGATGAGGTCATTGGATTTCTTTTCAATTTACCTATTCCTTCCAGGCGCACTATGGCCCTGGGGTCGACTCAGCCTCTAACAGAAATGAGTACCGGGAATATTCTTGGGGGTAAAGGGCGGCCGGCGAGTAGGACCGAGAACCTTGCCGCCATCTGTAAGCAGATTTTCTAGATATTGTGGGAGCCTCGACGTCTCACAACCTTATGGGCATCTACGGCCTGTTACAGGGATACCTTACCTTACTTACTTTTTATATCGTGTACAGTGCTATTGTGGCTTGTGTTCTGTCATTTGTTCTAAGACACCCCTGTAGACATATGTGGAAAGTGTTGCAATTATGGGTTAGATTCGTAACGCATGTCCGATGTGAAGTACATATACGATTTTAGGTAGAACCGATGAAAAGAAACCTCTGCTTTAAGACGTTGTTTAGATGGCAGTGTGATACGAAGATGGACCTTAGGGAAATGGGGTTCGTGGATGTGAACTGAATTCTGATTGCTTGAGACAGAGTCTGGTCGCCGCCGCACTCATGTGAACCTTAGCAATTCATAAAATGTGGTCGATTTCTTGATCGCCTTGGCGACCATCAGCTTCTCGAGCGAAGGCTTCTCCTCTGCATAATTAATTATTGTTTAGTTTGGAAGGACCGGCTCTGTGGTCTAGTGGTCAACGTTCCTGGCTACAAATCCAGAGGTCCGGGTTCGATTCCCGTCGCTACCAGATTTTCTTAGAAGTAGTGTGTCTCGAACGAGGTCCACTCAGCCTCGTGATGATAACTGAGGAGCTATTTCAAGGAAATAGCGGGTCCGGTCTAGGGAACCGAAATAAACAGCCGTGGGGATTCATTGCGCTGACCACGCGACACCCTCTGTTCGCTAAAGTTGACACTAACTTCGCCGACAAGCGGCGGTCGCTCGGTCGGTATAGTTCGCTTGCGGACTGAAATCACAGTTTTTTTTTTTTCGGAAGAATGGTCGTTACTTGATATTCTGTTTCTGTTTACAGATTTATGGGGAGAACAGACGCCTCACAATAGAATGGAAGGAGGATTTTCAATAAAACTTCTTTTTCATCTCTATTTGGTTCTGGAGCTGGCGGTTTTCTCTCCGGCAGGTAAGTACGTGTGCATTACCTTATGTGTTACTATTGATTTCTATTTCATATTTAACGACATTTATACGTTGGTGACTACAGAAAATATATACCAAATGCCGGTTTTATAAAACTTTGCTCAGTCAGTGCGCACATAAATATAAACACTCTTATGATATTAAAGTGATACTTTTTATATTCCATATGACGAAAGCTAGAAGACAGAATGAACATAATATTATTTAAAACGTTTGTTTGAAATTCAGTGAATTTGAATATTAAGAAATTGATGCCTAATTTAATGACTTCCATATGCTTTCGTGGTACTTAATTAAGCACTCGGAAAAACTTTATTTTTGTACCATATAATATATGAGGTCATTTGATTTATTGGAAATAATGGTGTTGTTTAAGAACTTTGTGTTTTCGAGGTTTTGCTTAAAACCGTCTCAGCATTAACATCTGAAAGTTGTTTATAATTAATAGTATACAGGAGCACACACATACACACACACACACACATATATATATATATATATATATATATACACCTAGATTGAATAGATTGTAATATTACGAATTTAACTGATATTTTGCTCGATATGACTGTCATGAAAATTTATTGGTGTTTCGAATTCTGAAAACTTTTCTCCACTTCTAAACGACCTGTACTGAACGGTACGTCAGAGAGATATCAGCAGCAATGATAGCAAACATGTCTTCTCGCTACAAATTACAGAAATGTTGTTGAATTTTTATTTTATGTAGATCAGTGTCTGCCTCGATCCTCGATATATCATGCCTTGTGCCTACTGAATGTTTGAAGAAAATGAAAGGAAGGGAAACATTTCTTGTGCCAAATATGGTCGAGACGATTACCACAAATTGGAATTCCGAAGAGTAATTGCTCCGTGGAAAAGGAAAAAGGAGACTTTTTAAAATTAAAATGATTTGGAAATGGAAACACTTTCTAGGGCCTTACACATGCTGAGTTGTTTACCGCAGATAAACAGAAATTGAACAGGACTGTTGAACTTAAATTTGTCCTTGTGCTCAATTAATTAGGCACCGCGCTTTGGAGACGTAAGGGGATGGATGCTGTGTAGATGCATCATTCTTGACCTCGGCCCTACTTTGAGGTATATTCGATGTCAGAGATTCTTGCAATGGTGACTCTGAACACTACTGTTTTCTGGGGTCTTACACACGTCCAGAATGGTAAGAGTTTTCCCGTGTTTCGGAAGAGCATATTGCCTCCCTCTTCAGGGTTGAAAAGTAAGCCATTGAAGACCGCAAAATGCTAAATCTGTTTGATCTCTCGATTGGCTTAACCTTCAACCCTGAGAATGGAGGCAGTAGGTTCCTCCAAAATGAGGGTTAACTTTAGGATATCCTACAAGACAGTTCTCTCGAACTGTATTTTGTTGTCTTGTGAGACGCATTCTGTCAGAGGTTCCATAGCTCTGCAAGTTGTCAGATGGGGCTGTGTTGTTGAAAGGTAGTAATTCCTGACATCAGGTGGAAGAGTACTATAATTACATATTCTGTTGCGTCGATCGATAAAATGACCATGTAAAAGAGAGATGGGTAGGGCGTGTAGTACGCATCGGGACAGAGGAATGCATGTGGAATTTTAGTAACATAGCTAGAAAGAAAGCGAATACTAGGAAGCACTAGGGAATGATTTGACAGTATCATCCAGTGTGACTGAAATACACAGAGTTATATGCCCTTACATGTTTCGATCAATTAATGACCATCTTCAGAACACAAATAACAAAATGTTAAGGGCTCTCCTATTACATAAATAATAGTACATGAATGTAAGTTCTGAGGTTTTCACGGCGATGACTATGAAGAAAGTCGTCTTCTGGGTTTAGGTGCCGTGTATTCTTCGTTTTGGCCGACGTTTCGGAGGAGCGTATCGCCTCCATCTTCAGAGCAAGTGAATGGCTTGGAATGCAGAGAGCAGTAGCTACTGCTTTTCTTGTCAAGTGGGATTTGTGGTGGACAAAGTGGCGCTGGGGCGGGTTTTCTCCGAGTACTTCGGTTTCCCCTGTCAATCTTCATTCCACCAAATTCTCCATCATCATAATCACCCGGGGCAGGTACGATAGGCCAATCAGTGGCAGCCGTGCCGAGTGGACCCAGCTGGACTCCACCCCCAATTAGCGAATTAAATAAAATTGTCAACTCTAAGAATCAAAAGTGCGCTTTTCATATTATGAAACAAATTTTGCAGTAATTTAGATGAATCTGCACATTAACTGCCCAGTAAATGCGATCCTACAGTGCGCCATATCTTCAGGCAGAACTGCCGCAGTTCTCTTCGCGCTAGAAATTGTTTTCTGATGGATGCTGTATAAGCATATAGACTAAATAAACTTTGTATGTATATTTAGAAACGATGAAGTAAATTAACGTGATTTTAATAAGCTGTTGAAATACGTAATTTTTAATAAGCTGGAAGCCTTAATATTTGTATACCTGTTAGCAGTCATGAAATGGAACATTCATTTTCCCTTTCTATTGCAGTAAACTTGTACCCCACACATTATTGCTCATATTTTGAAACTACTCTCTCTGTGTTTATTTTGGACTTGCAGGCCCTTCACACTCGAGGAATAATGCGATTATCTTAATTATTTTATGTTCTTATTTACTGTATTTTGCAAATTGAGTTGACGGATGGAATAGCTTGATATTACAACAGCCTGCAACCCTATACATCCCAGCGCCTCTCCCTTCTCCCTCCTGTAACATGTCTACTGTCTAATTACCAGCATAAGGCAAACTTCATCTCGATCAGAATACGCACACTACTCGTACCTGGCCTGGCCTCATCCTACCTTCTCCCTCCTTCTCTCCTCTAGTGTCTCAATTACCTCTCCTCACTCCAGCTATCCTCATTGCGCATGCTCTCTGTACTCTCACGTTTGCCCCCTGAAGCCCTTCCTGCTTTTGTTGTTTGCGAAATTAGCTGCAGGCCTCTTTCTGTTGAAATTGCATGGATATTAGAAACTTCCATAAATCTCTGCTTCTCAGCCATCTCCGATGCTCATATATATATATATACACAAGTTGCCATATTAATGATTTTGGCTATAATGTCACAGTGATCATCAGCCTTTCAGAGCCAACAGGATCATGGCGCTGACGCTGTAGAAGTTACCGCGTTTCCACTGTCTAATGTAGCACATATTTACCGCGAAAATTAATAATTCAAGTGGCTGAGATTTCTGGATTAACAATAACGGGTTCCGGATAAGATGATTGGATTTATTAACACCTTCTCTTACAACGTCTCTCAATCACAATCAATTACAGCGCTATCGCTAGGCTACCCACTTCACAGATCACTAGGACACGCTCCATTCTCGTTCTCTCTTGTACTCCCGTTCTGTGCCCTCTTATAATTCCTCGGCACGGACCCCACGGAAAACACTTTCCTAAAAAAGGATGTTTATTGGCTCGTTACCCAGCAACGGATGTCCATCTATTGCTGATAGCCTAATTTCAGGACTGTTTATGCACCTGTTGCCTAGCAATGGGCATGGTGCGGACTACAAACATTTTTGCGATACATTTTCTATCGTTGCATGCGCGTATTTTGGGCGTCGCCTAGAAATGGCGCTACTTGTCACAATATGTCTTGATAATTATGAAGCGAGATTTTGTAAGAGTACAGTTGTGTGTGTGTGTCACATCTATACTTGCAGTAGAATTGACGTCACAGCTACCTTTACGGAATATTGACTTAAGCCGTAAAATGGCTCAGATGTTGAAGATAATTAAACAAATCACCTTAACTCTGTGTTTGCAGTCGGTTTCCGTTCTTCTTAAAAACAGACCACGCGTCATCGCCATCTTCGTCTCATGTTTCAAATAGGAACTTGTTTTAATTACTGTTTATTCAGCGGCTCTATTAGCATTTGGACGTGTTAGAATTCACTGCCGTAGCCTTGCTCCCAGTTTCCTTCCAGTCGAATGATAGAATGGCCTGATTTGAAATGCTGCCCAAGTACTTACCTTGCTTGACTCAGAACTGTTCAGCAATGCTGAATATGAAACAGAGGCGCTTTCAACTCGAACACAATATTCTGACACCTAGCATCTTGTACAGCCTTGTAGCAACGTACACGACAGAAACCAAACAGATTATTTAAACTTTTACGGACTGAGTTTCTTCTAGAAAATCGGCTCATAGATAGCGGTGAGGTTGTCAGCCTTACGCGCCGGCCGCTCTTTAGCCCCAGGAATATTCCTGGTACTCATTTCTGTTAGAGGCTGAGTCGACCCCAGGGCCATACTGTGGCTGGAAGGATAAGGTAAATTGAAAAAAATCCACCTCATCGGGATTCGACCTTCCGACTTGTAACACAGTACCTCAACCAACTACGCTACCGCATGCCCCCAATATTACTGTGTTATGGGATGTAATTTAGTAAGAATGTACCTCTCTACCAAACTGCTTTGTCTCACGTTCCATGAAACCAAAATATTTGTATATCTAACCTCTCATAAGCCCTGTTTTTGTTGTCGAAAGGCTCGCAGTAAATTTTCGTTCATTATCAATATTTTTTATTTGGAGGTACATCATTCTTTGCCGCTCAGTTTGTTAATGCTTCCCTAATTAGATTATTCTGCTCCATCACACTAATTGTTTTGCCTGTTTAGTTTTAGCTATATCTCTACAGTTTTGTTATTCATAAATCTTCATATGTACAGAACAGCATCCACCTGACTGATAAAAAGTAATTTGTTTAATGTAAATGATCTTTCCCTCAGTCCGCTTTAATGACTCCAATTAGCCCTTCCGTATTCTTCTTTACATTCGTACCTAATTAATTTACGACCATGAAAGTCCGGGCGTCAGGTGCGCTAGGATTTCAGTTTCTCTCAACGTGACTGTATTATTTTGGTTAAGGACTTTTACTGCTGCTGTGAAATGCTTTAACGTAGGTCTTAAGCATACCGATATTAGGATCAAACGTGGTTATATACGTACGTAAATTCACAAT